ACTGTTATTTTGTCATTGGCCAATGCAAAAAGGATAAAAGAGTGATAAAATGAAAATCAAAAGCTGCAGAAATGTGTCTGACTCAGAAGGTTAACTCTTCACCCTATAAAGATCCTGTCTATAATTATTATCAATCGTTCTTCCACTATCTGCAATCAACTTCCGGCTTTCCCATTCCAATTTAAACAAAACCCAAATCTCTAGATTGCTATGTTCTAAACCAGATCCTAGCTCTGTGGCTGCCTGTAATAAAAACAATGTTACTTGAGACTAAGTCAGGGAAAAAACATGTTATTTTATTTAAAATTATGCTTTGCTGTTCTGCTCAATGTTATAGAGGAAGGCACATCTGCTGAATCTCAGTTTACATAATGAGGAGCTTATGCCTTTAAATAAAATGTGTTAGGCAGAAAAGACATGACCAAATTCCTGATTTTTTCCCACCACAGACCCTCCTCCCACGGCTCCTCTCCCACTTTCAGAGGCCACCCTTCAGCATGTGGGAGATGCCACTTCCTGGGTTACTCTCAAGCTATACAAGAGTCTCCCTTGGGAGTTGCAGTTAGCCTTAGTAAAACTTTGGATTACAATGGCTGATAGGTGTAATTATTCTCAACTGTAGTAATTCCCACATCTCTCTGTGCATGTGCATTTATATTGGTTCATATATGTATATAATAAGTATATATATAGAAGATACATTAACATTAAAACCTCTCTCTATATATAAAACTTCCAGTAGATAGTTCACATTAGAATATTTAAATTCTGTAGTGAACAGCAGCATTCAGTTGCACAAGAACAGATAAAGGACAAAATAAAATCCCACATTTACAATAATGGCTTATGGAACAAGTGATAAGTTAGGCGTTTTATAGAACGTTGCCCTTAAGAAGGATATTGTAAAACAATCATTCTTATGATTGCCCTCATTTACCAATGCTTCTGATATTGGGAAGACAAAACAATTGGCTATATGAACAATCTCCGAGTTGGATCAAAATGAAAACTCATATCTTCTTATGATAATCCTCAAACTAATTAGCAAAGATAGTCTCACCTCTGTGAAGAGATAAATTAGCCTTCCATCTCTTAATTGATCCACTGCTTCATTACTTGGTACAAACACAGTAAAAGGTCCAGGACCATCCAAAATTGATGGAAGGCCACAATTCTGCAAAATATTAAGCACCATGGCCACAGATAACTATAGTGTAAAATGATTAATTAGCAAAATAAAATTTCTGGAGATGAATTATGCTAAACAGCTAAATCACAGAAACCAATTGTTCCCAGCATTCCTGACAAAGATCTAGTTCAGCCAAACTAAAGTCCTACTGAAATGGTCAAATACTTTCTGTAACTCACTAAGGATTATTGATTTCAACAGGATGTGGTGTGAAGAACTTTAGTTGAAAATGATCCAATGACAGATCAATTTAGATGCTCCTGGGCAAAGTTTTGCACATAAACAATGTTTATAGGAGGACCATTTGAGGAAAGAAACCTTAATCCTGTTTCTTGTGTGGAAGAAGGTTGAATCTCTTACTGCCTAACAGCAATATTATGGAAATGAACCAAAAACCATTCTTCATGAGATGTATTAATATTTTAACAATTTCCATTATCTACTCTGCCCAATTCTCCTTTTGCTCTCGTAAAAGGGAACACTTTTTCTGTATCCTAATATGAGTCATAAAAATATTAAATGCTCAAGAAGCAAAGCCTACATTTTTTCCAACAGCTAAAAAAAAGAAACTGCAGTATCAGTGTTCATTTTCTGCAGGCCATGATATGGGAGAGATACTCACTTCTAATATAGTTTCAAATCGGCTGGCAATCTCCATTGAAGCAAGAATTTCTGCAATTGTTTTCTGCAAAAACAGACAGACTAGAATGAGAAGTGATGATATACACAGAAATATATTTCAGTTTGAACAGTATACTAATGAAATATATACAGTATGTGCAAACAAATAATGGCTCATTTCCCCCCTCTTCTACTCTGTGCCATAACTACTGTTATTTTGTACAGAAAGCCTTTGAGTTCCACTTACAATATTTTCTCTTCCATTGAGTTCAACAGAATTTGCTCCTTAGCAATTATGATTAGAGCACAATCTAGGTTACTAAACATACAAGTCTATGCATGTGAAGCATTTGCATCTTGCATTTTGAATATCTTAAATTCAAGGTGGCTTTCAAGATATGAACCAACACAGAGACTCTGAACCATAGTTCACCACAGGAAAAAATGCACTGGAAATAATGGAGGTAGAATAAACATGGCGGTGTAATAGCCTATTGTATCTACCCAGTTTCTTGTTTTGCCAATGTCTTGTAGAAAGATGAACCAAGACAGATTTAAAAGAAAACTGATACAGAAAGCAACAACTGATTGCTATATGCAAATATGGTACATTTAGGCTTCATGAAGATTCTCTGGAAATCCTTAGAGGAATTGATCCAGCAAAGAATAATATAAGGTTGCTCTATCTCTGGATGCCCAAGGGTGTTTTTTTTTTAAAAGGTGAGTTAATAGAGATATAAAGGGATGTTGAATCAAGCTCAGTTCCTGATAACTTCAGGGACATGTCCATGTTGGCTTCTTAGCAACCATGCCAAAGTGGTTTGCCATTGTCTTCTTCTGGAATGCTTTTTCAACTTCCCAGTAGAGTTAGTTGAGGGAAATCTTGACTTTCTGAGTCAGGAATAAGTAAATATAGTCTACCTATAAGGAAATGTAGACAACATGCTGTTCCCAGATTCCTTGCATGGTGTCCATTTTGGTGTCCAGCAGGCTTTTTGTGGAGTTTCTTTCAACCAGAAAGTTATTTAGGAAATTGGATGCTGCACAACAAAGCAGTAGCTTCTAATATCTTATTTAGTACCTTTTGGTCTCACTGAGATGGCAGAGAACATTGTGAGATGGCTAACTCATTTTTTGTTCAATGGGTACATTGACTCAGCACAGCAGCCATTTTATGAGTGCACCCATCATATTGCTTCAAAATTCCAAATCTTCCCCTGGCCAACTTACCCGTCTGGGAAAACTGGGGAAAAATGAGATTCTAAGTGAAATATACTTCCTGGTATACCTAATATTATGCAGTAAGGGTTGCGTGGAACTTTATATCGTCAGACCATTCACATGAGTCCAGTGTTGTTTGGGGCTGCATCGGAGCAGCATGTTAATAGAAAGGCTTTAGACTGATTCTAGGTCAGAAATGCAATTGTGGCCTATACTTAAAAGTTACTTTGTTTAAGGAATTATCCTCATATACTGCCTACGACTCTCTTTTCATAAGGAAAAAGAATATTCATCATACCTGAGCATTGACAGAGTTGTCCATGGTGGCTGTTGTCCTTAGAGGGTTGACAAGATGTATAAGGCCATTAGCTGCTGGCAGATTGAAGTCTTTGAAGTAATAGATGTCACCTGGAGAATCTAAGTAACTGTACCTCATGGGGGATACCTGGAGAGCAGTACAAGGTTATTCTATAGTAAATATTTTTCTATGGTTAAGTTTTATTATTGCTTTGACATTTGATTGCAATCATTTTAATATTTTTAAATGCAGTTACTGTTCTTGAACTGTAGATTGTAGTTGGGTTTCAGGCCAGGGTTTAGTTCTGGAGATGGCATTGGTCATTCTTATTGATGACCTGTGGTGAAATAGGAATGGGGGTGGTGCATCCATTCTTGTGCTCCTTCTGCTCCTTGATCTCTCAGCAGCTTTTGATACTGTTATCTGTGATGTCCTTTTGGACCACCTTCACTGGAGATGGGAGGCATTGTTCTACAGTGGTTCTCCTCCTTTTTCTGTGGCTGGTTTCAAACAGTTCTGACAGGTGGGGAGAGATTGCACCCATGGTCCCTCACTTGTAGGGTGCTGCAAGGCTCAAATCTCTCTCCCCTTCTGTTTAATATCTACCTGGAACTACTGGGATTGGCATCAGGATCATCAATATGCAGATGATACCCAGGTGTACATTTCAGTCCCTGGCTAGCTGAGCAATCTCCTGACCCAGTGTTTGGAAGGGAGATCCATTCCCATGACAACGATAGATAAACAAGGCTTGACCCCAGACCAAGAAGGTGATTTCCACCTCAGACAGCCACCCCCACCCACAATTCACATGAAGATAAAAGGGGATGGAAAGGAAGCATGTTTAGATGTGCAAGATTTTGTTTATATAGCTGTTCTAATAAAAGTAGCTTTTAGGTGGTCTGCATGGTGCTTGTTTCTTAGTCTGGCCTACCTTATAGGATAATTTCAGAGTCCTGGTTATCACCTTTAAAGCCCTTCATGGCATGAGGCCTGACTGTTTGAGGGACTGCAACCCTCCAGTTGCCTCTTCCTGTCTGGTTCAGGGTAACAGGGTGGGTGTGCTCTGTGTTCCCTCAATTAAGTAATGTCATCTTGTGAGACCCAGGAAGTGTGCCTACTCTGTCGCAATTCCTGCTTTCTGGAATGGTCTCCCTCCAGAATTCATGTGGCTTCTAACTTTCTGTTATTCAGGAATGTGTTGAAAAGCTAGTTGTTCTCCCAGGCCTTGGGGACAGGGTGATTGTGGAGCCCCTTCTTGTTTCGCTTTGTTTTGCTTTATTTACTTATTTATATTTATATATCAAATTTATATGGCTGCCCATCTCATAAAAAGTGACTCTGGGCAGCTTACAGTAAGATACAAATCAATAAATATATCAAAAAAACAGTCATTAATTAAAAGGTTTAAAAAATCATAAGGCATACAGGAGATGAGATGTTAGCAGCAATAATGGAAACACCTCAAATGCCATCAGTCCCCTGGGACCCCCAGGTCTTCAGGGACTTCAGGGATGTAAAGAAAGTAAGTAGGGATGGCGCTAACCTCACTTTCAGGGTGGAGGCAGAACATTCTAAAAGGCGGGTGCCACAGCAGAGATCCCACCTCCTGGGAGCTGCCAAGTGTAGTTCCCTAACAGACGGGACCCCAGCATGTCGCTTCTGCTAGATCTGATTGGACAGAAGAAGTAATGGGATAGAGGCGGCCCCCCAAATAACCTGGCCCATGCCATGAAGGGCTTTAAATGTCAAAAACATCAGAGTGAATTGGACCCGGAAACAAACTGGCAACAAATGCAGCTTGCAGAGCAAAGGTGTAACATGTGCTGCTCACATCACTGCATTTTGTACCAGCTGCAGCTTGGAAAACAATGAATGAAACAAATGAAAAGCCAAAGGTATATCAACATGTTTGATTTAAATCAGTGAAAAGTAATTGTGATACTGAGTAAAATATAAGACTAATCTTTAATAATTGTAGAGGAAAACATTGGACCTTTCCTTGGGCTATTTAAAACTGACCTAAAACTTCAGTATGAAAAGGGAGGGAGGGAGGGAGGAAGGAAGGAAGGAAGGAAGGAAGGAAGG